TAGATTTATTACGTTTTTAGTGGGGCCCCCCCATTTTGACGTCATTTAGGTCGAACGATGTTCTCAATGGGCTCACCGCTTTTGTGACCCAGGATCTGACTCCAGTTAGAGCGGACAGATGTTTATTGAATGACTGTTGTCGAAATATACATCCTGACTATTCTCGTATATAATTGTCAACTTAATCCTCTTTAGTGAATAACGAAATTAAATAAGTCATATACGAGAATTGATGTTTGAATAAGTATATTTTGTACAATCATTAATCAGAACAGACAATCAGAGGGATGAAGCAAAGAGAGAGAAGTGAAATGACGCTCAGTGGAGAAGGCATGTGAGCCAACTCCAGTTAATCAAGTGTTAATCAATATTTATAGCCAAATTAAATCAAGTTACAAACATGTGATGAATAAAATAAGAAGTGTAAAAACATACGCTGATATAAAAACATTCAAGTTTGATAAGTAAATAATTAACAAGGTCAAAATGTAGCTTGAGAAGGATGGATAAATTGACTAGTCTGGAAGCTAGAATAAGTTATATGGGCTCGACGTAAGACCAGCCATTATACATTTATTCATTTAAAAAGAAAAAAGAACTAATTTTTTGAAAATTTTTCCTCTAAAAAGGATTTATGTATTAATGACGTGACATCATTTTCAGATATTTTACAACTTATATGTCTGTAATAATTCATTATGACTCTTTCAATAGTGTTTATTAAATCGGTTGATAATTGTGATTTCATTTCGGTATTGGCATGCCAGTTAACCCTCGTGGAGGAGAATAGGCCGCCCATCAACATTCTCCATCCAACCCTGTCCCGACCAATCCTTTTCAGTTCTTTCCAAATAACATTCATCCTTTTCATATCTACTTCTATTTCCCGACGTCATGTGTTCTTTGGCCTTCCTCTTTTCCACTTCCCTTCACCATTCCAAGTTAGCGATTGCTTCGTGATACAGTTTGGTGGTTTCCCCCAATGTATGTCCTATACACTTCCAACGTCTTTTCCTAATTTCATTTTCAGCTGGAGGCTGGTTAGTCCTCTCCCATAAAACGCTGTTGTTGATAGTATCCGGTCAGTGAATGTTGAATATTTTGTGTAGACAACTGATTATAAATACTTATACCTTCTTGATGATGGATGTAGTAGTTCTCCACGTTTCAGCTCCGTACAGTAGGACTGACTGACTTGATATTCGTATTGAAGATTCTCAGTTTGAAGTTAATTGGGAGTTGTTTTGAGTTCCATATGTTTTTGAATTGTAGAAATGCTTCCCTTGCTTTACCAGTCCTCGCCTTTACATCTGCATCAGATCCTCCTTGTTTATCAACGATGATTCCCAGGTACGTGAATGTTTCTACCTCTTCCAGAGTTTTGCCATCAAGTGTGATTGGGTTGATATAATAATGAATTATCTTGGCAATGTTTAGGTGAAGTAAAGAACATTGATCGATATGACCAATAACTAAATAAGTCAAAACATTAGTGTTATTATCGTCACCTCTTATAATTTGATAAATTAAAATGAATCTACGTTTCACTTACTGTACGGGGCTGAAACGTGGAGAACTACTACATCCATCGTCAAGAAGGTATAAGTATTTATAATCAGTTGTCTACACAAAATACTCAACATTCACTGACCGGATACTATCAACAACAGCGTTTTATGGGAGAGGACAAACCAGATTCCAGATAATGAGGAAATTAGGAAAAGACGTTGGAAGTGTATAGGACATACATTGGGGAAAACCACCAAACTGTATCACGAAGCAATCGCTAACTTGGAATGGTGAAGGGAAGCGGAAAAGAGGAAGGCCAAAGAACACATGACGTCGGGAAATAGAAGTAGATATGAAAAGGATGAATGTTATTTGGAAAGAACTGAAAAGGATTGGTCGGGACAGGGTTGGATGGAGAATGTTGATGGACGGCCTATTCTCCTCCACGAGGAGTGACGGGCGTAAGTATGTAATTAAGTAAGTAGTAATGTATAGAAATGACTTTTCCTGTTAGCTACTACCTCCGGCTTTTTACAGTAGCTTTTCGTTTAAAGTCTTTGGTCAATAAGTCATTTTTCTTAAGTAGTTGCCACTTGCACATACTTATATTATTTTCAAATGATTCAGAAAGTCATGTGATATTTCTTCATTATGATAGAAAACCTAAATGAAAACATCAAGTTATTTCAAAAGTGACCGTAAGTTTTGGATTCATTTATTATAGTTTGTTTATTTGACCGTTTTGTTACATAGAATATTAAGTCTGAATGTTTGGGTACCGTTCATATGATCAATGTCGGGTTCTATAATGAATACACCAGTTGTTTTTGTAATAAATTTATTTCAATACTGATCCTTACTGTCTACATTTATTCTTTCGGAGCTTTGATTTTTATCTGAGTTTTCTACATCCGTGTCAAGTTCAAAATTTTTGCCAAATTTATTCATTTATTATTGTCTACTATTGTATGTTTCAGTGAATTGGCATGGCGAAATAATTATGCTAATCAATTAGCTAATCTTGACTGATTCAATAACTGCAATTACATAATTTAAAAAATAGAAGGTACAATATCTATTGTAAGCAAATATGGATAGTGGCTAGCAGTGGAATCCACAACGCACGTTTCGCCCTGTTTTGGACTCGTCAGTTGGATGTATCTGCGTCTCAGAGTCGATGTTCACTCTGAGACTCGAACTCAGTACCCTTTGCTTCAAACGCCATCGCGTTATCCATTTAGTTACTGAGTCCTGATAGCCACTTGCTTGTTAAATGGGGTGAAGTTTAAATTCATTTGGTATTGTATGTTTGAATCTTCCCATTAATGTTTAGGACTGCAACTGGCGTTTGAAGCGAAAGGTACTGGGTTCGAGTCCCAGAGTGAGCATCAATTCTGAGATGCAGGTGTATGCATCTGACGAGTCCCAAATATGCCTGAACGCGAGTTCTGGATTCCACTGCTAGTCACTATCCATCTTCGCTTACAATGCTTGTGAATTAAGGCTATATCGAGGAACTACGCACGGTATGCACATATGCCAATTAGAGACTGACCAGTTGCAGTCCCAACACATCAATGGGAAGATTCAAACAAACAATACTAATTGTACAATATTTATGTTTGAATTAGTAGTGAGTTCACTTGTTCATTAATTACTTGATAACAAGGATACCTAAGGATAATCATATATAACAATAATGAGTTTAAATTAATAACAAAGGAAGTAAATATTGTTCTGAGAAATTACAGAATACGAATTTTGATTTACAAGTCAAACAAATGACTTGGTTTTTGGATGCAATTTTGAAATAGAATTTCGTCTCTACAATCGCATACAGAGATCGATTATGTCGATTTATATACCATATGTCACTATTAAACCTACAATTATCGTTTTATATATATAATTTAGTTCATAACCATATCAAAAGTTATATATGGCGTTGCCTAATGCTTAAAAATATCATTGATTACGTAAGAGTAAATCCATTCAGGTTAAATAAACCATTAGACAGAAACAAGCAGTCTTGTTTTATAAGCTACCGTATTAAAAGTATTAAGTCTAACGACATTAGGCTTCAAATCCTCCGTATCCCAAAATTAATAGTTATTAAATTTCTAAACAGACCGGAACATGTCTATCAGACGAATGTTGAACCTCTAATACTGTCGTCAGTAATAATTTCATTGTGACTCACATTACCTAATGTGTATGATCACTTTTGTTAATGAATTTTTATGATTCAAACTTATTCAGTTCAACCAGTTTCCCATCATACGCAAGCAAGTAATATGCTCAACACTCAACACGTTCCTGTTATATTAAGCTTAATCTATATGTCATTACATCTGTCGTGTAATATGTAATCAAACATAAAAACGTTTTCAGCAGTTGTACACCATATCCATTCAGAACGTGATTCACGTAGGAATTACATATAAGCTAATTCAATAAATTTCAGCAAATATTAGCCAGTTCATTTTACTAATAAGTAAAAATTCATATTGTGATTCATTGTTTCAATTAGTAAATTAGGACTTTTAACGATAGAACTTGGTAAGAATTTATTGCCAAGACTTCTTTTATTTTCTTTAATCACATGGATGATTTAAAATATATTAAAAAAATCCCATACAATAAATTCAATTAAACCGAAAGGTATTCAAAGAGTATTCAGCTTAGAGATGTTCTATGTAACGATCTGATTTTTAGTTAAACAAACATTAGAAACAGAAAAGCATTGAATCAGTGTTTTGTTCTATTCTGTAATTTTTCAGTAGTATTGAACTAGGACATTTTCAGAGATAGGAACTTTGGTACTCAAATTAAAATTTCGAAAATCTCAATTTTTGTTTTCTCATCACAATGAATATTGATATTAAATAAAACTTATGGGTTGTTTTTTCCAAGTATATACATCTATAATCTGTTCAACTAATACAGAAACATAATTGTACATATCAATTATTGAAATCATCAGTCATGAAAGTAACATCCCTAACGTGTTTCTAAATCATTACAATTGATTGATCACTAGGTGGTGATCAATGTCATACGTGTCAATTCCTTCTTAGTGTTGATCGGATGCTATCGATCTAGTTGCAATGTGGCCACTAGTCTAGGTGGCTCGACACTGCGTTCACTATGTTGAGATAACATAGTAGTTGGAGGTGGTCAATAGCAAACTCCGGACCCGGGTTTCGTGCTACTTGGCACTCGTCAGCAAGGTGTACCTGTAATCTTGAGGGAACTGGTGCTCCCTGGGTCCAGGGTTTCCTGTTGACCACCTCCAACCACAATCTTGATTCTAAATCACTTTTTTTTAGACAAATTATCTTTCACATTATTATTGAGAAAGTCAAAATAATAAAAAAGTATCCATAATAGAAAGCCATGAAGAAGACGCTTGGTTGATTACTACTAATAATTTCTAATGTAGTATATAGATTTAACCAAACAAGAGAAAAATACAGCTTTTCATAACTTACCCGAATTCTTCGCATTGAAGATACAATTTCAAGACGATTCTGAGGTCTTGGTATATCCATACCACCAACAAACTAATATCAAAAAAAAAGAAAATAGAATCTAAATCAAATGATACATAATGAATATATATTGAGATGAAATCGTTAATAAGAATCTAAGTCAAGTATACAAAACCTACATAGATAATACCATTAATGTATTGAAAGAATGCCAACATAATTACCATCGAAATAAGCTATTTCCAAATTATCATGAGATAAAGTAATGTAACAGTGGTAAGTAAGGAAACGTCCGAAATGCACTGATACGACTGAAAGTGGGGAGAGTCAGCTCTATCTCGAAACGCTCTTACATGGCCATGTGCATACAACCACTGCTAGGGAAGTCCTACTCACTGCCTTCTCGCGTCGGGAGGTGTTGTTTACGGAATTGAGAGGACGAAAAGCGAATGTTCGGCACTTTAACCGAATTGGTGGATATGAAGGATCCACCTAGGGGAGTTGGAAAACCCTGATTCAAAACCAATGGTGCACATGAGCTTCAGGATTCTGAGGGGACAAATGGCGTGTGAACTAATCGTTGGCCACTGGCTACCATGGAACTTCATCTCATTACATTGCTCTCCTCCCTTGTGAGCAAGACCTCTAAGTCAAAGGCTGGGGGTGTGGCCTCTAAGAAAACCACCTGCTTCGGTTTGGGTAACCGGGCAGTATCCCGGTGCCTCTTCACACCTTTGTTTATGTGTTTAAATAATTATATAAATAATAACTGAGGAAACGGTCTGTGGTGTAAACTATTTTCCATAAACCCATTTTGATAGTAATCATGTACTAACTAGTGAATAATTTCGATATAAAGTCCTGTAATTCCAGTGAGTTGCTACAACAGGTTGAGTTAAACCACGTTGTACTCAAAAACAGTATCGATAATATTAATGAATTGAGTTAAATCGAAAATATATCGTAATTGATTTCAACAGTATGATATAAATTTATCCCCGCTTTTTATGAATTCTGATTAAGGAGAGGTTTGATCTTTGATAAGGTTATATGTACACAGTATTGATGAATCTAATGCGAGACTATAATTTATGGACGACCTTTGAAAGAATCTCGAATAACCTTGAGAAATATTACCCATCAGGTAACATCCGCTTAATTGTCACTTCTTCTCCAAAACCCTCTGTGAATCGATTGTACATGAGCATCAGATACTGAAATTGACGCTGTGACCTTGAAATCCCTCAAATACCTCTGTTTGGCTCATCTCGCCGAATCTAATATTTAAACAAAATAACTATTTATTACTCTTTAATTTTTAATTATTTTCTGGCTAAAATCATTTCTTGATTTAAACCATTTTAAAATTGATAAAATATAAGAAAATCTAAATTGGAACCATCAGTTAAGTGGAACTACGTGATACTTTTATTCTTCTCAATTTCAAGCGACCAAATTTATATCGATTGATAATTTTGAAGGAATATTAAATTTTTAATTATAATTTATCAGTTATCATCACGTTTGATGAAAATCTTAAATTTTTTTCCGTTTTCTATCCTAGAAATAATGAAACAAATAAGACAAAACGGCCATCCAGTGCTTCCAGGTTTTCCATGGCGATCTAGCTTCAATCGACACATGATTTCAACTATGAAAATACTGAAATCTTTACAAAACCTCTTCTCAAATTTGCTTATAATCAAAGATAGATGTTGGGGCTAACAGTGAGATCTAGGAAACACGTTTCATCTTATTCAAACAAACAATACAAAAATGATTAAATAGTTATGGAATTTGATTCGATAGTGAATGAAATGTGGAATTGGTGAGAAACCAGGGAATAATGTTTATTGGGATTTGATGGTATGTAATTTATCTCTGTCTACATTCAACTTAGTATCCAACTCAATAGAGGAGGAAAAAGTACGACAGTTCTCTACACTTTGTCAAACATCCTATGAAACTTCTTAGAATATTAAAAAATCCTTCGGAAGTACATATTTATTCAGTAAAATGTGTACAGATTATTTTGTTTTAAATCTATGTGCAATCGATCTTTGAAAATATTGAAGCAGTCAAAGAAAACACTTACAGTTTTTAAAGATGATTGAATCTATGAAACATATCGTGAAGATGACCAAAGGTGACTACATAGGTTTTCAAACGTGTTACCTTGGCAATATGAGTACCAGCCGAAATGGTAAATAGGTCATTCGCTTGTTGACAATTCCCTCCTTCAACCTCATATCATTATAAATTCTACATCTAATAGTTGCATTAACAACCCTAGACGTGAAATAATAGCATTGGTAATCAGGTTATTTAAAGCCTGACAAAACGATGTTTTTTTTACATAAAAACTGACATTTGTTACAAGAACATACCTATTTTGATTTTTTCTGTTTGTAGAATGACCTAGATCATCATGAACTTATAAACTAAATTACTTTTGAATTTTGAAATAAATAACCATAGAACGACTTCAGTTGTTGAACCATGCACCTTTGAACAATTATCTCATCTTAGTCTGAGATTCACAACCTCATCAGTAATAGAACTCAGGATTGCCGAATCAAAAGCCATATATGTTACATTTTAATCACCAAGTCAGTATCAGAAGGCTCATATTGCCAACTTTAATCAATCCATAATAGGACACAAAGATTATTCAATATTTCAGTAGTTAACTGTCTCACTTTTAACACAGTTGAAAACTAATTATTTTGACTATAATTTTGGGAATTTAACTCAAATTTAGTCACTAGTGGGCATACACCTAGTGTTTCTAGGTTGTTGGCCGTGGGGATTAATATTAAAAATAAGTGAACACTATTACTTTCAGCATATTTAAAAAAATTTATGTTGATGATTAACATTATATAAGAATGCTTGGTAAAAGAAGTGTGAACACAATTGTAGTCAGTAACTAGAATATATCATGGACAGAACAAAACCGTATATTACTAACAAGTTGGAATGTGGTGTCGGCTACTTATACCGATATAAGTAGTATAAATCGTGAGTCAGGAATAGAATATCTGGCAGTAGAAGATTGAGAAGATCGAGGAGGGAAGTACAGAAACAATAAAGCCTAGACAATTAGTGAACACTTTGCAAATGAAATGTCAGAGTATGGTTTTTCTATTTTATCAAGCAACTTTGTAATTTGTTTTAAATATATAATCCGTTGTCCTCACATGTGTTCTCATTCATTACAGGAATATAAGGCTTTACAAAAAGGGATTGATGTTCAACTTTACTGTGTAAATTTACATCTTTGGACTCAAAAACTCTAATTGTCAAGTCATCTTAAGTGCTCCTAACTTGTGTGTACTTATAATTGAAGTTAGTTTTCATCACTCACTGACACTAGAACGAAAAATAACTTGTAACGAAGAAGCATAGTACAATTGCTACATCCTAGTCTGGACATTCCCAATTAAACATACAAAGGAACACAACATTTTCGGATATTGTGGCGGGCACAATATAAATACGTTATTAAGTCATAGTCCAGTGATCAGTAAATTCAACTTCAGTTGTTTTGTCACATAGACCAGTGATCACTTAATGTCCTTGCAAATACCTATCTCACCCTTGACCTGCGAAAAAACCATCTTTATACTAGATAATAATGATCAAAAAATTATTCTTGCATTTTTACAATTTATAGTTTATCTCAACTCATTATTTTACGAGATTGAACGCATGGATTTAAAGAGATAGATACCAGGTTTACGCCTGACAGTGAATGTCAACACTTTCATACAAATACATACAAATAAAGAACAGAATACGAAAGCTACTATATACTTCACTGCTATTGAAAATCTAGAAAGTGAATCCTAATCTATCGAATGAATAATCCTTTATAATTCATTTAGTATTGTTTGTTTGAATCTTCCCATCGATGTGTTAGGACTATAATTGGTCAGTCTCTAATTGGCATATGTGCATACTGTACGTATTGCCTCGATATAGCCTTAATTCACAAGCATTGTAAGCAAAGATGAATAGTGACTAACAGTGGCTATCAGGATTCAGTGGTCGAGTGGATAACACGATGGTGTTTGAAGCGAAAGTTACTGGGTTCGAGTCCCAGATTGAACATCAACTCTGAGATGCAGGTACATCCAGTTGACAAGTCCCGAATAGGACGAAACGCGCGTTATGGATTTCACTGCTAGTCACTATCCATCTTTGCTTACTATACTTTATAATGTAACTAACTCAGTAACATATTATTCTGTTGCTGGTAAATTTTTCTCGGTAGATATTAATAATCTATTTATTATTATTTTTTAGTATCTATGTCATTTTATCGCTTAATCTTTAATTTGTCAAAATGACACTCACTTTTAGTTTAAAACAGACTTTTTTTCCTAACTGTCCACTATATAAATAATGAATAGTATATAATAGGGAATAGTATATAATATTACAATTATGATATAATGACAGGAATATTTATTAACAATGTTACAGTTTCCTTTTTCCTCATTTACACCAAACATCATTGCTAAGTAGGAAAAAAAAACAAACGAATGACGTCAATTTCATTTTGTGTTATTTACTTGTATCTTCCGATTGTTATGTAAGACTTCAATTAATCAGCCTGTCTTGTTGACATATTTGCATCCTATGCGAACTGCCTAGATATTGCCTGAAGTCAAAATATTATCAGGACGCCATGGCGTTTGAAGCGGACGGTACGGGATTGAAATCCCAGAGTGAATATCAACTCTAAGATACAAGTGTATCCAGCTGATAAGTCCGGAATAGGACGAAATGTGCATCCTGAATTCCATTGTTAGTCACTATCCATCTTTGCTTATCAAGAGATGACGTCAGGTGTTCAATTTTTTTTTTAAAAAAAGCGTTTTTATGATTCATTTAATTGCGTGAACAATCAAAATTTTATTTTTTTAAAGTAACAAGATGGATGTATAGACAGAGAGATAGGTAAATGGGTAAATATATTGATTTTATTTAAATGTTCATACTCGACTATAAAACACCTTAGTAACTACAAGTTGTATTTCATCCAATGTTGGAAGAAGGTTGTATAT